CCCCCCCCGTACCAGTGAACCCCCCGTGGCATGCGTCTGCAAGCCTCGGACAAGTTGCGGGATCCGGAGAGTTTCCTGGAAGTAGAGATGATGATTTGTTGGTGTCGGGATATTAATTTGTCTCTTCCGGTTCCAGACAACGAGCAGCTGGCCCGATCCGGCACCAACTGTCTGGAGAACCTGGTGATCCTGAACGGGAAGAAGTTCTGTCCTGAGGTTTGGGAGCAGACGTGCTCCTGTATGCTGGACATCTTCCAGACCACCATCCCCAGTGCGTAAGTCACGCAGAGTTTATTATCGGCGGGTCTTCCAGGATGGAGCGTCCGGGGACACAGGAAGTCTTTTACCTTCGGGTGCTGCTGCCGCTTACTGGTGGATTGGACACTGGCAGTCCAGGATAACTCTCCTCCACCCAGCGTGCCTCAGTTTTGTGTCCTAGGAGCACGAACGTCTTTCTTCCCTCGGAGACTCTGCTCTGTGTTCCTGCCGGAGTTTTGTCTTCTCGGTTGCAGCTGTCCGGCCGCCCTCAGCCTATGGAGTGCCGTGTCCAGGCTTTGGGGACACAGAGCCAACTACGCTCTGCGTTTATGTCCATGCTCTCACTACTGCTTTGCTGCAAACCTGAGGCATGCTGGGAGTAGGAGGGGCTACCCTGGGCTGGCCTACAGTTTATTTTGATCTTGGCATTGTTCGGTCCTCCCGGTGGCGGTAATAGAACCCGAGGCTTAGACTTCCTGTCCTCTGGGTGGCGGTAATAGAACCCGAGGCTTAGACTTCCTGTCCTCCGCGTGGCGGTAATAGAACCCGAGGCTTAGACTCTTATAGGCCTCGGGCTCATCGTGGGGTGGAGCCCTGTACTCCATATCTTCTATGAGTGCTTTTCCTCCAGCCAATCGCAGCGCAGCAGATTCAGAGACGTGACAGGAAGTTGGTGTGCGTGTGTCTGACGCTTCCCCCTTTGTGTTTCAGGCTCCTGACATGGCGGCCGTCTCGCATGGAGGACGATTCATCGGACAGACGCTTTGTGAGTGTGTGGCAGGACTCTGCTCGGGGGTTAGGGTGTAGCACTGGGCGGGGGGACTCCGGTATGGGGCCCTGTACGTGGGGGGGCCACAGTCTGCTATTCCCGGCACACAACAAAGAAATGACACGTCTACATGCTACGCTCCGTGTATACGCCTCTATCACCGCAGCAGAGACAATGTCCCCGGGGAGGAATGGAGGCGGAGCTTCCGCTTCACCAGCGTTGGCTCATCAAAGTCACTCCATGAGCAGTTCAGGGAGTCGCATGTTTACCATCCCGGAGTTCCCCTTTAATATTCCAGACATGCGTGTAGATGAGGCCGTATTATCTGTATTCCGGCAGAGGGTCTGCCATGACACGGGGGTGGCATGTGACGTCCGGGGTCACCGCTATGTTCTTCCTGTTTCCCGGCAGGATCTGGATGTCGATCGGCAGTCAATGAGCAGCGTGGAGAGGAATGCGTCGGAGCGCGCGCACAGTCAGGCCTCCGAAGAGAACTGGAAGGGGAAGAGCAGTGAGCGTGAGTCCCGTGTCCCGTGTCCCTGTCCCCTCATACAAGGTGTCCCGTGTCCCTGTCCCCTCATACAAGGGGTCCCGTGTCCCTGTCCCCTCATACAAGGGGTCCCGTGTCCCTGTCCCCTCATACAAGGGGTCCCGTGTCCCTGTCCCCTCATACAAGGGGTCCCGTGTCCCTGTCCCCTCATACAAGGGGTCCCGTGTCCCTGTCCCCTCATACAAGGGGTCCCGTGTCCCTGTCCCCTCATACAAGGGGTCCCGTGTCCCTGTCCCCTCATACAAGGGGTCCCGTGTCCCTGTCCCCTCATACAAGGGGTCCCGTGTCCCTGTCCCCTCATACAAGGGGTCCCGTGTCCCTGTCCCCTCATACAAGGGGTCCCGTGTCCCTGTCCCCTCATACAAGGGGTCCCGTGTCCCTGTCCCCTCATACAAGGGGTCCCGTGTCCCTGTCCCCTCATACAAGGGGTCCCGTGTCCCTGTCCCCTCATACAAGGGGTCCCGTGTCCCTGTCCCCTCATACAAGGGGTCCCGTGTCCCTGTCCCCTCATACAAGGGGTCCCGTGTCCCTGTCCCCTCATACAAGGGGTCCCGTGTCCCTGTCCCCTCATACAAGGGGTCCCGTGTCCCTGTCCCCTCATACAAGGGGTCCCGTGTCCCTGTCCCCTCATACAAGGGGTCCCGTGTCCCTGTCCCCTCATACAAGGGGTCCCGTGTCCCTGTCCCCTCATACAAGGGGTCCCGTGTCCCTGTCCCCTCATACAAGGGGTCCCGTGTCCCTGTCCCCTCATACAAGGGGTCCCGTGTCCCTGTCCCCTCATACAAGGGGTCCCGTGTCCCTGTCCCCTCATACAAGGGGTCCCGTGTCCCTGTCCCCTCATACAAGGGGTCCCGTGTCCCTGTCCCCTCATACAAGGGGTCCCGTGTCCCTGTCCCCTCATACAAGGGGTCCCGTGTCCCTGTCCCCTCATACAAGGGGTCCCGTGTCCCTGTCCCCTCATACAAGGGGTCCCGTGTCCCTGTCCCCTCATACAAGGGGTCCCGTGTCCCTGTCCCCTCATACAAGGGGTCCCGTGTCCCTGTCCCCTCATACAAGGGGTCCCGTGTCCCTGTCCCCTCATACAAGGGGTCCCGTGTCCCTGTCCCCTCATACAAGGGGTCCCGTGTCCCTGTCCCCTCATACAAGGGGTCCCGTGTCCCTGTCCCCTCATACAAGGGGTCCCGTGTCCCTGTCCCCTCATACAAGGGGTCCCGTGTCCCTGTCCCCTCATACAAGGGGTCCCGTGTCCCTGTCCCCTCATACAAGGGGTCCCGTGTCCCTGTCCCCTCATACAAGGGGTCCCGTGTCCCTGTCCCCTCATACAAGGGGTCCCGTGTCCCTGTCCCCTCATACAAGGGGTCCCGTGTCCCTGTCCCCTCATACAAGGGGTCCCGTGTCCCTGTCCCCTCATACAAGGGGTCCCGTGTCCCTGTCCCCTCATACAAGGGGTCCCGTGTCCCTGTCCCCTCATACAAGGGGTCCCGTGTCCCTGTCCCCTCATACAAGGGGTCCCGTGTCCCTGTCCCCTCATACAAGGGGTCCCGTGTCCCTGTCCCCTCATACAAGGGGTCCCGTGTCCCTGTCCCCTCATACAAGGGGTCCCGTGTCCCTGTCCCCTCATACAAGGGGTCCCGTGTCCCTGTCCCCTCATACAAGGGGTCCCGTGTCCCTGTCCCCTCATACAAGGGGTCCCGTGTCCCTGTCCCCTCATACAAGGGGTCCCGTGTCCCTGTCCCCTCATACAAGGGGTCCCGTGTCCCTGTCCCCTCATACAAGGGGTCCCGTGTCCCTGTCCCCTCATACAAGGGGTCCCGTGTCCCTGTCCCCTCATACAAGGGGTCCCGTGTCCCTGTCCCCTCATACAAGGGGTCCCGTGTCCCTGTCCCCTCATACAAGGGGTCCCGTGTCCCTGTCCCCTCATACAAGGGGTCCCGTGTCCCTGTCCCCTCATACAAGGGGTCCCGTGTCCCTGTCCCCTCATACAAGGGGTCCCGTGTCCCTGTCCCCTCATACAAGGGGTCCCGTGTCCCTGTCCCCTCATACAAGGGGTCCCGTGTCCCTGTCCCCTCATACAAGGGGTCCCGTGTCCCTGTCCCCTCATACAAGGGGTCCCGTGTCCCTGTCCCCTCATACAAGGGGTCCCGTGTCCCTGTCCCCTCATACAAGGGGTCCCGTGTCCCTGTCCCCTCATACAAGGGGTCCCGTGTCCCTGTCCCCTCATACAAGGGGTCCCGTGTCCCTGTCCCCTCATACAAGGGGTCCCGTGTCCCTGTCCCCTCATACAAGGGGTCCCGTGTCCCTGTCCCCTCATACAAGGGGTCCCGTGTCCCTGTCCCCTCATACAAGGGGTCCCGTGTCCCTGTCCCCTCATACAAGGGGTCCCGTGTCCCTGTCCCCTCATACAAGGGGTCCCGTGTCCCTGTCCCCTCATACAAGGGGTCCCGTGTCCCTGTCCCCTCATACAAGGGGTCCCGTGTCCCTGTCCCCTCATACAAGGGGTCCCGTGTCCCTGTCCCCTCATACAAGGGGTCCCGTGTCCCTGTCCCCTCATACAAGGGGTCCCGTGTCCCTGTCCCCTCATACAAGGGGTCCCGTGTCCCTGTCCCCTCATACAAGGGGTCCCGTGTCCCTGTCCCCTCATACAAGGGGTCCCGTGTCCCTGTCCCCTCATACAAGGGGTCCCGTGTCCCTGTCCCCTCATACAAGGGGTCCCGTGTCCCTGTCCCCTCATACAAGGGGTCCCGTGTCCCTGTCCCCTCATACAAGGGGTCCCGTGTCCCTGTCCCCTCATACAAGGGGTCCCGTGTCCCTGTCCCCTCATACAAGGGGTCCCGTGTCCCTGTCCCCTCATACAAGGGGTCCCGTGTCCCTGTCCCCTCATACAAGGTGTCCCGTGTCCCCTCATACAAGGTGTCCCGCGTGTCCCCTCATACAAGGTGTCCCGTGTCTCCCCGCACAGGGCTGGCTGATCAGAGGCTCTTCGCCGGGCTCCTCATTAAGTGTGTGGTGCAGCTCGAGTTGATCCAAACCATCGATAACATCGTCTTCTTCCCGGCGACCAGCAAGAAGGAGGACGCCGAACATCTGGCCGCCGCGCAGGTAAGAGCGCCGCGTGTCCACAGAGCGTGTAATACACGTGTGTCTGCCTTCATCATCCGGGAAACCATGGCAACAGTACGGTCAATCCACATCTGTACTCAGGAGCTGGAGGGGGGACCCCAGGAACACCCAACCTGCATGTGATCACCATCATAGGGGGGGGGCACTTTAACACCCTCACCCCGATTCCTGCGCCCCCAGCTGGGGTTTTACACTTGCTGCAGCTTGCATGTCCAGAAGGGGGGGGCAGAGGGTGTTGCATGTAATGGGGTTGCAGGCTGGGAGGAGGGGCGGCACCTGGGACTCAGCGGGGGAGGTCAGCCTATGGGAGCAGTTGTAGGGAGCAGGAGCCCATCGGAGGATCCTGTAGCCCCCTGGCGGGACACACAGAGAGACGCGTTGGAGGCGGAGATTCACACGGAGGCGGAGGATCGGGGAATGTACAAGTTCATGTCCACGCCGCATCTCTTCAAGCTGCTGGACTGCCTGCAGGAGTCGCATTCCTTCGCCAAAGCGTTCAACTCCAACAACGAGCAGAGGACGGCGCTGTGGCGAGCGGGTGAGAATGGCATTGTGTGTCACCTCTGGAGGATGCCGGGGGTGAGAATGGCATTGTGTGTCGCCTCTGGAGGATGCCGGGGGCAGAATGGCATTGTGTGTCGCCTCTGGAGGATGCCGGGCGCTGGGAGTACTCACCGTGGATCTTTCTTCCTCCTCAGGCTTCAAAGGGAAATCCAAACCCAACCTCCTGAAGCAGGAGACCAGCAGCCTGGCGTGTTGTCTGCGCATCCTGTTCCGGATGTATACCGACCCCCAGCGCCGGGACTCCTGGGACGTGATAGAGCAACGACTCCTAACGTAAGACTCCACCCCTGTCTGTTCTAACCCTTCCCCCACC